CCTCTGGAATCACCCCTTTCCAGATGTTAACATAATTATGGGACTCCCTGAATACCGTACAAATATTGAATGCTTTCTTTCAACACCCTGTATAAGCGTGAGGCACAAAACAATTTTTTCCGTAGTTCGATCGGGTTTTATAATGAAGTAACTCAAACAAGTGATCCGCCCGACCATCGCTAGCTGTTTCTACTTGACCCGACGTTCGGTAACAATGACAGTGATTTCACGAAATAATTTTATGCAATTCAATTATCACCGTCGACATGCTCGATGCACGCATGTCCAATAAATTTTTACGAATCGTGTAAACGTAGTTTTGTATTCGTTCGGAAATATATGAAGGTAATTTCGTCGATAAATTCGAAATGAAAAAGTTGAGCAGCACTTGCATTATACGAATGCCATTAATCTAAAATGCCCATTAGCGGAATCATATATTTCCATGTATGATTCGATCGATTGCATCGCGCGTAGGCATCGAATCGTCAGAATTAACAAATTTGATCGAAACGGTTCAATTACATTTCTCTCTGATAATGATAATTTGTATGCGCGTTATTGTTTATAAATTGCTCCACTGCCAAATTGTTTGTATTTTCTATCACAAATAGAAATAAGAAAATGAAATCACAAATAGAAATAAGAAACTAAAATCACAAAAAGAAATGAGAAAATAAAATCACAAGTAGAAATAAGAAACTAAAATCACAAATAGAAATGAGAAAATAAAATCACAAGTAGAAATAAAAAATAAAATAACAAATAAAAATAAGAAAATAAAATTGCAAATAGAAATAAGAAACTAAAATCACAAAAAGAAATGAGGAAATAAAATCACAAATAGAAATAAGAAAATAGAATCACAAATAGAAATGAGAAAATAAAATTACAAGTAGAAATGAAAAATAAAATAACAAATAAAAATAAGAAAATAAAATTGCAAATAGAAATAAGAAACTAAAATCACAAAAAGAAATGAGAAAATAAAATCACAAATAGAAAGAAGAAAATAGAATCACAAATAGAAATATGGCAGTGAAATCACAAGAAGAAATAAGACAACGAAATCCTGAATATAAAGAAGGGTTAAGAAAGGTATTAGTCGATTATAGAATAGAAAGTTTGCAACTTCTCTTTATCTATAAAAAGTATTGTTTCGCACACCGTGAACGTTACCGCGCGAGTAGCAGCGTTTCTGTAGACCGCACGCAAAATGAAATTTCTTCGTCAAAGTTTCAATTAACTGAATTGATTCGATGGAATTGTTCGTACTGAGTGACTTTTATCCGAGAGAAATCAGTTGTCCGAGAACGGCGCGCGTGTAGCCTCGGCTTAAACGTTCAAAGTAACACGCGGAATTGTGAAAATTAAATTTCACATATGTACTCTCAGTTCCATATTGATTGAAGTAAATCACTTCGCTCCCTTACCGCTCTCACCGTAAATGTACATTCAGGTCCCGTTTGCGTAATCTGCGCAATCCGAGAATAATATCTCGACGAGGCGAAACAAGAAAAAGTTTACCAACATTTCTTTCATGCTTCTCCCTTAATTTTTTACTTCAGCTTGCATTGTAAAAAGTTGCGAATTATTTACTGCGAACTGAGAGAATAGAGTTTGGAGAAATCGTGGAACATATTTATTATTTATGCGAACGTATAATGCGTTATCGTATCCGGCAAAGTATAAATGGTTTAATGTTAACGGCAAGTGTAACAATATAAATTGTAAATCGAGAACGGTCGTATTTTTGGCAGAGATTGATATGAAACGTTGTCCGCGTTTTTATTAACAGTTGCATGCAGACTCTAGAATTATTAATTGAACATTTATATGTAACAAAAGCCGGTATTAATTTGATACAGAGCAATTTTTCAGGAAATCTAGACCTTTCGAAATTTGTCGAAAAAATGTTCAAAAAAATGAATAGAACAATACAGTAAAAAATAACAATGAAAATATCTATACTGACACGATGTTTTACATAGAACAGCGGAACGAATAAAATAACAAACTGATCAATTGCAAAGTTATAGTTACGTGTTTGTTTCGCATTGTTTCATACACGTACTTGCGTCTCTGCCATTGCGAGCATTTTGTACACTATTTCTTCGTACTTATTCAATTCTCTGCTGCGTTCAGTGGAGAAGTATACTATTTGCACTGTTTTTGTACTATTTACACACTTTCTACGCGGTCTTCTTGAAGGGAGTAAATTTGTTTAAAATGCTCCAAAGCTTTTAAATAGGATAAAGCTTTCACAATTGCGATGACCACCCGGTCTTTTAAATCCTTTTTCCTGGAGAAAATGCAGCTATAACTTTTGAAGCGTACCTGAGGTTATTATACCCTCGGAAAGTACACTTTCCCAAGCACATTTTTCCGCAGATTGCAGCAAACTGCTGTTTAATATGTCGAGGACACTGATGCATTCCAACAATGTAGAACAGTTTTAACGCGTTCACTGTCCGATGCGTTTACTACGAGACCCAGTTATAATTTACTTAAATAATACGTGTTTCAAATATATATAAGGAATTTAATATAACATATAAAAATGCAATAGTTGAAATACATAAATTTCTTCTGTTCTTTTTTTTTAAATAGAACATTTTTATCGTGCACAAACTCTGTCTGCAAAATGAGAAATTGGAGACCAATTTTCGTACACCAATTAAATTTAAAGTAAAATTTATTTTTAATTGCATTACATCATATTTCGTTGTATTTTCACTTGGGCATTTTTTCGCAAATGCATTCATAACAAAGTTATGATCTAAAACGAATTTCGTCGACCACCCTATATATTGACAACAAAAGATAGAGCTGACAACGAAAGAAAGAGGTCATGGAAAAAGAAAGAATAAACGGTGCATTGCGCAGAAATGCGACACGAGTCGTCAAAAACGTGTCTTTGAAAACCGTCGAATTTTTATTTTGCGACATTTCTCAAGATCGCGCGGAGTTCCGCAGAGAATCGAGTGTTCCTAACGCGATACGCGGTATGTTACAATAACGTGCCTAAATATGCTCGGCATGCGAGGTAAGTTCGCCAAACGTATGTTAGCGGGGAACGCGTTAATAGACGCGAACCCATCCGTTTGCACGATAATAACTGGGTGAAATTTCTAAAGAACGCGCATACACGCTGCAACAGACGCGATCTACTCGATCCCCTCTATCAAAGATCCGCGGTTTATTCCAGGGAAAACGGGTGTCAGGGAACGGAAAGGTGCCACCGCGAAATTTCTGCGCAAAACCGCACGACGGTACCACGCAATATGCCAAAGTGATTGCCAGGAGCATCGCGGATACCTCGAAATCGCGTTGGATGCTACTGACTAGAGGAAACTGAGGACATTCCTCATGCGAAAGACAGAAGCGGTTGCGCTGATTCCACAAGATTTCACAAAACAATAATCGAATTTCAAACGACAGCGTGCAAATCAAACTGCTGTATTCCGTATGTTCGAAGATAGAACGCGTGAATAATGTTATAATTGAACTGCGAATATTATGCATTTCTGACGAAAATGAGAAGCTTCAATTGATTACAATTATTAAGGAAATAAATACATATCCGCGTAGTTCTTGTATCTTATAATTGAGAAGGATAATTTTTGTTATGGATGGAACTCTGCCGTTTAGTTAAAATAAACAATATATTTCTGACACAACCAGAGCGTGAAAACTGTAAAATTACAATAAAGAAACTCTTCGATTACAAAATGGTAGTTGAATAGTAAATTGTTACGCTAAATTGCAACAAATCTGTGACTTCAAAGTTACAAAGTGATGTAAAGGATTAATCCACTTAACACATTGGAGTCACCTTCCGTTTCAATCGTTTAGAGTAGCACTGAATTATTCAAAAAACGCTTCTTTGCAAAATGAAGTTCGTAAAATCTTGCGAGATGCATCTCTTAATTTAGAAGTCGCCAGTTGTAATGAAATTTGGCAAACATGTGTTGAATCAGGTAATTTTGAATACCGTATATGTGCAGATTTATAAAATGCAAGATGTCGTACGAATTAACAAAATCCAATATCATTCTTACTGTCATTTTACAGTGAATGATTTTCCAGTTGGAGAAGGAAACTTTTCTTCGGTTTGAATTTTTCTTAAATAACGTATGAAAATGAGAGTTTGCTCCAACGATTTTGATTTTTTTTTTATTAAATGTAAATGTGGCGAACATACCAACAGTGATAGGATGCGAACTCCTCTTTCTCCCTCCTTCTCTCTCTTTTTCTCTCTCTTTTTCTCTCTCTTTTTCTCTCTCTTTTACTCTCTCCTCGTCTCTCTTTTCCCACGTCGGAAATTTTCAATCGACGGGACAACGTTAATCTGTCACGAAGCATTTGAGATTAACACATTGATGACCGATCACGAGTTAACAAGTGTTCTTATGCCCAGAGTTGTAAAATTGCCGGTCAACAATGTGTTAAATGTAGCTTGCGGTGAACTCCGGTTTACAAACGTTTTCCTTATCATCGACAGGCGATGTTATTTGTTGATCAAATCGGTAAAGCTGCGATCTAACATAATTGATGTTATTTGTCACAAATAGAAACACAACTGAATAATTCTCTGCACTACGAAATCGGAAAATATTATTCGCGCACTAACACTAAACCTGCCAAACAGTAATAGTATCTGGCGTGCGTTGCTTTATACAAGTGAGAAGATCGAATTCATTTAGATTTTGTAAAGTTTTTGTTATAAAAATTGTTTCAATAATGTAATTAATCCATTCGAGCATTTTCCATGAAAGAGTCTGCAAAGTTTGCAGAATTGCAAAATAAAGGAACAGTTATTTTGACCGCCTTAGGTTTAGTGCTGATTTTTGCTAGCGGGGAAGACTTAGTTAGACTGTATTGTTAATTGTTTTCACTGCACTCTGTCTTTCGGTGACTCGGTAAATATCTGAAGGATCTTTCGTGTGGACAGTTCATTGTACACATATAGATTGATCCGATTCCGTATTAAATTTCAGGTATCCCCTGGGATAAGAATAACCTTGTCATCCTTCGATGGATTCTTGGGATTAGGAGTACGGTAACTATGCGTGGATCTGCGAGAATGGATCATGCGCTGGTCACGGGTATGTAATTATAAAAATAATAATTGTGCACAATTGCATGGAATATATCATCTGGTTTAAAGCATTAATAAACAAAGTCACCAGAATATAATAAAATTGTAAAGTACACGTGATAATAGACTGTGCTCGACAAAGTAAAGGGTTAACGACGACGTACTTTTTCCAGGCAAAGGCAGTATATGTACCAAATTGAATAAACATTGTACATTTTCACTTTCCCTCTTCGTAGTAAGAGGATTTATGGAAGAGCGATAAGAGAATTTCTGAAATCGATTACCGATGTACAGTATTTATTATTGCTATTAATTTATAAGTCAGATTTACGAGATCACAAATAACCCTGGCTCGGAGCGGCGCCGAGTGCACGTGCCGCTGACAAGGCGCAACAAGAGCACGGAAATGTTCAGACAACAGGCTGCGAAATGTTTCAAAAATTCTTTCATAAAATAACTGATGGGACATAACGAGCACCTGTATCAACCGTTTGTGAATCGATACAAATTGATGATGTTATCTCCGGGTGTCTCGGGTATTACGCGTGTACACATTTCTCCGCGGATGATTCTGGCATTGTATCGTACGCAAACTTGGCAAATTCTACAAATATACCCTCTGGTGTATCGAGAGCACGATCTAGAACATACGGACATGGAGATGTCATGTTCTCGATAATGCAACCACGATCACTACATTGTTCCTGTAAAAAAACTAACGCGACGTTTTGCTTCTAGTTAGATACAGACTGGTTATAATATTCTTTTACTGTTTCAATATCAGCACTGGTCAGCGTGCATTGTACGTACAGTTTTATTATCATTATGTACAGTATTATTATTATATCTTTTTTATTTAGTATCAATAATAATTGAACCGTGTTTCGAGCGAAAGCGATGTAAGCCGATATTTCGCTACGTTGATTGAATATTATTAAATCATATTTAATTTAATATTTGTAATCAAGTATGTAGCAATATTAACTGGTATTGGAAACGTTTAAGCAATGTGTTTATTGAAATGTGTTATTGTGGAATCTAATACATTGTCGTCGAACGTACAAATATTCTAAGAACTTCCATACAACAGTCTCGTATGAAAAAGTACATATTAAAAATTCTAGATACTACAGATGTCACTAATTATTAATTAAATATTTGTTCAGTGAAGCAGATATACGTTTAAGGAAAATTCCACAGTTGTACCTGCTTCACTGCCGCCATCAACAGAGGCCATTTTTCAGTAACAGTGGGGTATGTACTTAATAAATCTGATTTAATCCGAGCCCGTAAAAAGTTATCTTACAGCCGTTGTTACAGCCCGGTGTTGACGGAAATAAACAAACGAATTCAAGCGATTGCAGTAATTATTAATAAAAATTCTTGGAATTTTAGGCGCGGCGCGCAGCCAAAGGATTCGCCCTGGACGCGGAGGGAATATGTTTTACGATCGGCGCGAACGATACCGGTATAAAGGGTCCGAAGAAATCTGCGAAGTAAAATGAAAGAAGAATTCGCGGAGGAACGGAAATTTTGCGCCTGATGAAACAGAGAATCCGCAGTGGCACGGCGGATGTAACGCGAGGTACGCCTTCCCTCTTATCTCTCGTTCGCCATCCTTAAAAGCGGCCGTAAAATGTTTAACGTGTCCCCATAAAGATTCCACTCGGCCGAAAATATTAAAAAATACGTCGGCGTAAAATGTGTCCGCTGCGACGGGGCATCCTTATCGGACCGGAGAAATTAGGCATTGCTTGTAACGAAGCTTATTGCCGTTGGAACTTTCACGTAAAGGCGGAACAAAGTCGCGCGATGTAAAATTATGCGAATCGGCTACGGCGGACCGCCGCCAGCAAATTCGGAAACGGATGCAGTTTTCCTCGGTGGAACTGTAAAGTTCGCACGACCTTCGGAAAACTTGCCAGAATTATTCAGGGCCCTCTAAAGCGAGATGTAACTCCCCCGGTAAAAATAATTAATTAATTTCCTTCTCCACCCTCCCCCCGACCCTTTACAGTCAGTCACAAAAGGCTATGTACACCGGCCAAGTTTCGAACACTCCCGACAATGAAGCTAAGTTTTTCGACGTTCTATGGACAGTAATTAATTCTTCAGAATTAGGCGGATTCTAGGTGGCACGGCTTTTACAGATTTGTTAGCAGGAAATTATGATTACGGCGGAAATTGGGGCACGTGGAAATCTATCAAAATCAAGTCTTAATGATCGATCTCATAATTTTCCATTCGCAAACTTTTGAGATGATTGAGACTCTTTCTTTCTGGCGCGAATCTTCGAAGAAAATCGATACATTTCTTTTTGCATTTTTTAGAAGATCTTTTACGTTCGAATTCTTAAAATTAAGAATAAAACTTGAAATGCGTTTTTCTAAAAAGTATGACCGCGATGTCTCAAAATCTCCGCAACCAATTGCCTCCAAAATTTAGGTGCACATTCGGTTATACTTGTGCCTACAGCCGAATAATCGTGTCTCTTCTTCCCGAATTGTCCACTTTTGTTTGCAAGTTGAAGGAAAATCAAGGAGAATTTACTGTACACGCGAACGAAAATCAGCAATGAAAATTTTAGCGAGGACTCAATTAAAGCCGGGCGTGCATTAACAAACGCAAACAACGGGTTGAAAAATGTTGGTAGTTTAAGAAGTAATGAAATCGTTATCGCGGAGATTGCTCAGAAGTGGTTTGAAGGGTTCGGAAGTGGACGTAACAGCGTAGAGGATAATCCGCGTTCCTGGTTGCGCCGTAATTTAACAACGACGCTTTGGCTATTCTAGTGGATGCGGAGCCTGAACCAACACTGATCAGATTGCGGAGAAGTTGAATTCTTTCAATGGGGGTACCACGTAATGGAAATAGCTAACCGTATCAAAGATTCGGGTATATTGGCAACCTTATAACTTCTTCGAAACGAACCCGCAACAAAGAATGAACCATTCTCACTTCACCCAACTATATTATAATTAGGCCGCCGGACTTTTCTACAAGAACAAAATTGCTTGCATCGATTCCGAGAAACGGCAGCCCAATAGAAATTGCCTACTTGTCTCTGTTTTAGTCAATTAATATCGTTTCATTTATCTGATAAATATTATTATAATATAATATATATATATATAATAATTATCAGATATACATACATATATACATATACATATATCTGATAAATTAAATACAAAATAATTTATTAATTATAATTTATTTTTTATATATTTTCATATTTATTATATAATAATATAATAAAAATAATAATAATATATTTATTATATATATAT